TGTTGCAGTGTGGTCCAGTAAGCCTGGGGGTTCCTAGGGACCTCTGGAACTTAATGATTGCAAGTCTTTTGGGCTTCTCTCTGGCTATGGGTGCTGGGGACCAAGACACAGGTATTTTTAGCAGGTGTCTTCCTCTGCTTCTCCTTCAAGAAATTAGTCATGGCTTCTAGGAGACAAATGGCCCCTTCCAATCTTCCCTCCCTAACTCAGCCTTTCACAGACTTTGCTCCATCAGGGGTCCCTGAGTCTCTACTGGCACCTGCTGGGCACCATCTTGGGGCAGGTGAGGGTGGAGCTTCTCCTTCCTGTGCCCCTGGACTCTGAAGCCATCTGGGAAGCTAAAATGAGCTCATAAGAGTGGGGGTGGTTTGGGCCAAGTAAGGCTTCCTCGAGAGAATTTTCCTCTTTAAGTTGTCGTTGTTGTGTGGGTGTGTGTACTTGTGCATGTGGGGGTGTGTGCACATGTGTGGATGGGGGTGTGATGGGAGATGTCATTCTGTATATGTTTCTCATACTGGTTAATAATAAAGCACTGTTGGCCAATAGGAAAGCAAGATAGGTGGGTCTAGGAGACAAGGAGGAAATAGGAAGTAGTAAGGAGGGTCAAGATGGAGAGTCTGGAGAGAACAGAACCGCCATTCCTCCGCTCTCGGTAAGACCACGTGGAAATACATAGAAATGGGTTAATATTTAAGACAGAGCTAGCCGATAAGAAACTAGTAACGGGCCAACAGAATTATATCAAATACAGAGTCTCGGTGTGTTAATTGGGGCTGGCGCGGCGTCGGGACAAGACCAGGCGGCAGGCAGAAAAACCAAACTCCCTACAGGGGTGTACTTGTGTGTGTGAGTGTTGGGAATGGGGTCTGAACACAGGAACCAATCACCGAATCTTTCTCTTCAATCTCCACCACACTCCTTGGATAAAATCTCCCCGAGTCCATTTCTCAGTAGAGCAAACTGAGGCTCGGAAAAGTGCACAGAGCCTGGCCTCTGGTTTCCCAAACAGGCAACTTTGGGGACCCAGAGCCTCTCGTTGAGCAGGTTTCTGAAGCGCCTTTGAGATATTGATAGGTTACTGAATTGTTTAGTTGTCTCCTCCCCTGTGATGTGTGTGCCCACGTGCAAGGACACAGTGTGTGTGCCCACATGGATTAGATACTTTAGGTATGTGTGTGAATGGTCACATGCCCGTGGGTGTGTGTATGCTCATAGGCAATGCATGCATGTGTCTCCATGTCCTATCACACATGCATCCTCAGGAGCACATGTCTCCCAAAGGGGCTGGCTTGGGTTCCCTTGAACACATGTCTGTATGGTGCTTCTGTTGGTGTCCATGTGCTTGCAAGGGGAAAGTGTGGATATGTGAGGCCTATACATGTCTGTGGTGTGTTTGCACATGTGCATATATGTCCACCTAGAAGAAAGAACAGGAGGGTGGTTCCAATGTCAGCTCTGCTGTCCCCACAGATGGAGCTCCTCGCCTCTACTAGGACAGGTGGCCTGGGTACCTGGGTAATGGAAACCCATCCTCTCCCCTCTTGAGTCTCCACCTCTTCTCTCCTTTCACGCATTTCCTTTTCAACCATTTTCCCTACCTTCTTTCCCCTTTTCCCCCTTCCCTAGTCCCCAGCTGCAGTCACAGCTTGTCTTCAGCGAAGCCAGGGGTGAGTCCTCCCCACCCCCAGCTTCCAATACCATTTTAAACATGCCTCTTTACAAAAATCATAGAGATAGGGGGCTAGCTAATGCCCCCCAGTGCTTCTAGAATCTGCCATGCCAGGGCACCCTAGAGGAATAGAATGAGAACCTGACATATGTGTGGACTGAGGTCCCTCCCCCACATCTCTGCCACTCCCCAGCTGTATGACCTTGGGTATGTCCCTCGGCCTCTGTCAGCATCCTGATGAGACAAACAACACCTTCTGGACACCTCACAGAGAAGCCACTTTGAGGGTGTTTATTCCAGTGCTGGTGAACCAGCAGGAACTAGGCAAACCCCGACAGGATAGGTTTGCTTAAAATCCAAACAACAAAACCCACACAAACTAAGATGCCCCTGGTTAAGGAACTAGAGACCAAGTGTGGCTCTGTCTAGAGCAGCGCTTCTCAACTTTCCTAGTGCTGAGACCCTTTAACACAGTTCCTCAGGCTGTGGTGACCACCGCCCCCCAGGCATAAGATTATTTTAGTCACTACTTCGTAACTGTAATTTTGCTACTGTTAAGGATTGTAATGTAGATATCTGATATGGGATGCTCGAAGGGCCACTGGTCTAGAATATATTCGTGAACCTGGAGGATGCTCTGAGCCAGCAGGTGACTCCATGCTTAGGCACAGGATGCAGTTCTGGGTTTCAAAAGGAAAAGGGAAAGGCTAGAAGGACATGCAGTGTCACCTCACCACAGGGTCTGGCATTTCCGGTTGGTGGACTTTTCAGCCTTTTGTCGATCTGAATTCTAACATCTCCACAATGAGCAGCTAGCAGCCCTCTGAAGACCCGAATGCTGTAGGGAAAAGGGGAAGCTTGGCGGCCTTGCGGGAATCTTCCGAAGACCACAAAGACAACTGAGCAGGTTCCGGCCCTTGTGCCCATTTCGAGTAGCTCATTCTGCCCATCTCCTATCTGCCCTCAACCCCACCCACCAATGGGTCAGCTCTCTCACCTGAGCTTGAGTGACAAGGGACCCAAAGACGGGACACTACCATTCATTTTCATATTGTTTCTGTCTTTCTGGTCCTGTCAGGCCCCAGGTGGGAGGGAACAAAAGACAGTCTCTCCAATCCCCACATCGGGAAACTGAGGCAGAGAGGAGAGAGAGGCTTGTTTTGAGACGTGGCCTCAGGCCTCCTAAGTCATATTCAGGGGCCTGACATGCAGCTCAGTGGGTAGAGTGCTTGCCCTGCACACATGAAGTCATGGGTTCGATCCCCAGGACCATGCCTGTCAATTGGAGTGGGGCATGCCTGTAATCTCTCTGTAGGGAGGTCTTGCCTCAGGTTCCAGGTTAGCCTAGGTTATATAGCAAGACTCTGTCCCCCAAAACAAAAACAACAACAAAAGTCACGGCCAGCCCTTTCTGTCTAGCCTTTTTCTAAAGGCAGCATGTACTTCACAAGGCTTGCAGGGCCAAGGCCCACTCCCCAGGGCCCTTCCGCCCTAGCAGCCTTAGAAAATAACTGTGCCTCCTGCCCCTGTGGCTGTGCTCCCTGTCTGCTTTTTATTCAGCCACCTGGAATTATTTGCACTATAAATAGGGGTGAAGATAGAATCCCGCCCTGTCCCCTTTCTCTGCAAGCTCTCCCTATGCAGCCCAGGCTGGCCTGGAACCCACAATACTCCTGCTTCAGCTTCCCAAAAGTGGGGGTTACAGGTGTATCCTAGCATGTTCATTCCTCAGTCATCCTGAAGACTTACTATGTGCCAGGCTGGCTTGTGATTTGCACAAAAGCAGGAAAGAGCACCCTCCACCATAGAAACTCCCAAAGTGGGCCAGCAAGAAGGCTCAGTTGATAGAGGCCCTTGCTGCCAAGCCTGATGATCTGAGTTCTAACGGACCCAGGTGATGGAGGAGAGGGCTGACTCGTAATATGCTGTCCTCTGACCCCTACACACACACACACACACACACACACACACACACACACACACACACAAAATTAAAAAAGAAACCACCAGGGCCTCAGCAGTTAAGAGCACTGGCTGCTCTTCCAGAGGACCCTGAGGACCCCGGTTCAATTCCCAGCACCCACATGGCAACTCACAATTGTCTGTGACTCCAGTTCCAGGGTATCTGACACCCTCACACAGACATACATGCAGGCAAAACACCAATGCCCATAAAATAAAAGTAAATAAATCATTAAAAAAAAGGAAACCACCTAATAAGAATAAACCAAAGCTAAAGACCCTAGAGCAGTGGTCCTCAACCTTCCAAAGTTTCCACCCTTTAGTAGTACAGTTCCTCATCCTGTGATGACCCCCCAACCATAAAACTTTCTTCATTGCTACTTTATAACTGTAATTTTGTTTCAGTTACGAAGCCTAATGTAAATAGCTGTGTTTTCTGAAGGTCATAGGTGATTCCCGTGAAAGGATAGTTAGACTCCAAAGGGGTCTCAACCTATAGGTTGAGAACATCTGCCCTGGTGGATGGGGGAGGAGTCTTTATAGCTGTCAAGTTGTGATATTGTGACATCTACCCTGACTCCCAAGATAGTGGATAAAAAAGACCACACAGAGCTGAGGGAGAAAAGCGGTTTTTTTTTTTTTTATTATTAATCTTTCTTTTTTAAAAAAGTTGACTTTTTTGTTTATTTTTCTGGTTTTTTTTTTTTTTCTGTGTCTGTGTGTGTGGGTTTTTTTTTTTTTTTTTTTTGTAAACCTCTTTCTGGCTCCCCTCCCCCACTCTGCCCCACCCTCCTCTTAAAAATATAAAAATGTCCAGCCCCAGATAACTAGAGTACAATAAATAAACAGTAAACACAAAAACATACTTTATTTGTTTCTTCTTTATACAAAATAAGGAAACTAGAAGCGTCCGACTTCCAAAAAAGTATAGTACTGTTTGTCCTGATGGCCCAGCCTCCAGGCCCCGGGCAGGGAGAGTAATCCTTGGGCAAACGCCCAGCGACCTGGCGCCCGCCTCAGCGGCAGAGCAGGAGTGGGAGGGTTCGAATCCTGCCCAGCCCCTCAGGCTCAAGGTATGGAGGAGCAAGGAGTTGGGGCCCAGGCTGGCCCGGTCCTGACCAAGCAGCTTCCCTAACAAGCTGACCTTGAGCCTCAAGATTGGCCACCAGGGGGCGCCAACTCGCAGGTGGATTTGTCTTCCAGCAAAGCCACCATTCACCAAAGGTCGTCTATTTTTCTTCTCTGGCTGAGGCTTTCCTCATCTCTCTCTCTCCCCCTTTCAACCTCTCTCTTTCTTATCTTTTTGTTGTTGTTGTTAAAGAGAAAGAGTGAGAAATAAGATTTCACAATGGCCTCGGCTCGCAGGGAGGGATAGCGCCGCGGTCTCAGCTCCTTGATCTCAACCCCCTCTTAGTTTAAAGAGGTGATGGCGGGCGGGGATCCAGGGAGCGTCTAGGGTGTGCTTGGAATCTCGACCCTCCAGAATATTGACTTTGGTCCCAAGAAATTACGCAGGCGCGCTCCGAAGCTCTGAGGGGTGGAGATGCTAGTTGTCGGGTGGGTGCGAACCCTAGAGAGGACTCTTGAGGGTGACCCAGGAAGCGTTCAGGGCTCGATGGCAGGGGGCGGCCCGGCCCCCTGGCCTTACCATACGGCCGCCTCGTTGAGCTCGGGGTTGGGATGCGACAGGGGTCCGCTGTAGCCGCTGGTGCTGCTCATAGGGAAGGGTGGGCTGGGTCCGCCGCTGAACACCTCTCCCGGCATGGGGTGCAGCGCGCCGGGCAGGCCGGGCTCGGGGCTAGGCGTGTCCGGGTGCGAGATCATGTCGGTGAACCTGGGGTTGTCCGCGCCGTGTGGCCCGGCCAGCGGAGGTTCCAGCGCGCCCAGCGGCGTCGAGCCGGGTCCCGACGCTGCCAGGAAGCTTGAGTCGGCTGGAGACTGAGCCTGCGATGGCGGGCCGTGCGCGAAGAAGTCGTAGTTGCCTCCCGGGGCGTAGTAGTCGCTTTGGTAGTCTGCAGGAGGGACAAAGGATAAGACGTGCCATGAGGATAAACTGCCAAGGCCGACAGGGACTCAGAGACTTAGGAGAGGTGACCCGACCCGAGAGAGCGAAAGCCAGGACACACAGGGCTGTGGGTACAGACAGACGGAAGGCACAGGAGAGCATGTCACTGACCCTAGCTTAGAACGAGACCTTAGGAGGCCCTTAGAGGCCAAGGGAGGAAGCCTGAGGCCCTGGGGATGGAAGCGGACTGAGGGAGGGGGACACGGGTAAGGCTGGGGGGGGGGGAGGCGGGGAGAAAAACGCAAAGACCGAGGGACTCGAAGTGAGAGAGATACAGAGCTTACAGGGACGCCGAACAAAGAGGAAAACATAGGCAGCAAGGGACACTGGGGAATCGCAGGTCCCCAAACACACGGGGATGGGGAGAGGGCTGGCAGAGGCCAGAGGCGCAGAGCCAAAGGGGGACTCGGTGAGAAATGGAGGGATGAACACCGAGACAGCGAACCGCAGCGAAGGTGGGATCGGGGGCTGGGGAGAAGGCGGTGGAGAGGAGTCCCAGACACGTCACAGCACTCGGAACATCCAAGTCCACGGAGAGGCGAGAAAGCGCAAGCAAGTACAGGAAGAGGGAGACAGAAAAAAAAATAGATAGGTAGGTAGGTAGGTAGGTAGATAGATAGACAGATAGACGGATGGATGGATGGATGGATGGATGGATGGATAGACAGATGGATGGAAAGATAGATAGGCCTCGGTGAGGGTGTGGATGGAAAGATAGATAGGCCTCGGTGAGGGTGTGGATGAGCCCGAGAGACAGTACACTAGAAGACCAGGAATCGCCATAGGCTTGGTGGCTGCCAGGCTCGGAGAGGAACGCAGGGACAAAGCGGCTGTGGCAGCCCTAAAGCATTTCCAAACAGGATCAGATCCGGCTTGCGGCCCCAGAGGGAAAAGCGGGACCGGTCAGCCAGGGCCAGGGGGCGCAGGGCGCAGAGCTAGAGCCAGTCTCAGTAGCTTCTGCTCCCTTCCTAGTCGACCTTGGAATGGAGAAGGGCCAGCTCAGTGACTCTTCCAGCGAGGGGATCCGAGTTCAGGACCACTTGTGGGCTCCTGGGGTGGGGCTGGGGAGCCTCGGGTCTCCAGTTTCTACTAGGAGAAGCTTGTTAGGACTCCCAGATCATTTTGAATTATTTGGGGACATAGACCTTTGGAAGAGTTGACACAAATAAACGCACATTCTTCTCACAAATGCAGGGGTGCAGGGCTCACACAGGTCAGGCGCTCAAACCGCTACAAGGAACTGCCTCTGCGAACACCCTCTGGTCTCCCTTCCGGATCAGCCCCTCCCGGATTGAGTGCAGAACCCCAACAAAAGGAGCGCCTTAAGTCTTCTGGAGGGACAACCCGCTTTGTACAGCAGGAAAACCGGCATTCCCGAGGCCAAGATTTCTTCTGGAAATCCGCTCCCCTTGTTCAGCCCCTGGGTCCGAGTTCACAGGCGAGATCTGTATGTCCCGGTCACCCACTCCCCCCCTCCCCTTTACCGAAACGCTGAGGAGGTGGGAGGTTGCCTGGAGACCTGCCTGGAGTGGAGGCGGTTTAGGTAACAGCTAAAACGGTTTTTGAAAAATCTCAAATTCCATCCGGCACGAAAGTTTGGGAGGTGGAGAGAGACAAATTTGGGGGCCCTCAAAGGAACGGAAAGGGAGCGCGCTAAGCAGGGAAGGCCGCGGCCCTGGAGTCGTGCGCGCCGCCTCCGCCCATATGGCGGCCGGGCCGGAGGTAATTGGAACAAACGCTGTCTGAAAAGGGCACAAAAGCCGCAGCTGGGGCTTTGTCCGAGCTCCCACGGGGAGCCGCGGGCCCCGCCACCCGGCCCCTTTCTCGCCCGCTGCCGGCCGCCGCCACCAGCATCTCCCAGTGCGGATTAGGCGGGGCTTCTGGGCTGGGGGTTGGGGAGTCGTGCGCCCCCATCCCGTTTTCGGAGAAAAAAGGGGGTTCTGGTGTTCTGTCCCCCACCCTGACCAGCAGGCCTGCAGAGAGAGAGGTTGGCAGGATCGGCAAGGGATGGGCTGGTCCCCCTGAAAACCTTGATTAATTACTCAGGTTGGGACCGGGTTTCCAGGCGGGTACCGCCCCCACTATCTCCCGGCTCCGGGTTGAGATGTTTTGTGCCGAGGACAAGCTAGGATGAAAGATTAGACGTCCTAGGACACGCCCATCGCCGTACAGTTCCGGCTCTCCCAACCTGGGCCTCCGCTACCACGTTAAAAATCACCGTTTCACGTATTTTTGTCAGCAATTCCAGGGGCCTCGGTCAGGTCTACAGATTAACTTCCCAGGCTTCTGCAAGTGGAAGTCAGGCCCGGGATCCTCTTTATTTTCTACGGGGCTGACTGGCTTTCATCGCCAGTATTCCACCCCAGTATTGTCCCGGAATCCACATTTTAAAGGGAATTCACTTCTTGTCTCTCCAACTGAGTTTGTAGACTCAAGCAGAATAACTCAGTGCCATTGGTTAGAGACTCCGGGTGACTTCACAGATTGGAAGGCTAGGAATCCAGAGAAGCGAATCCTTCCCCACAGAGAGCTTTGAGACGGGAAGGAGAGCGGGGCAGGCTTGAAGCCACCCCCGCCCCCAGGAGCAAGCCAGGCCTAGGAGCTGGGAGGAAGACGGGGTGCTGGGATGGGACACTAGTCCCGGAGAGCGAGAGAAGAATGGGGCTAAGTAAACAGGCTGGAGTCTATTAACGGTGTCCAGAAAGTCGTCCGTGCAAACCAACCTGGACCCAAAGATGAATCCGGAGCATCGTTTTCCCCTATCCCTTTGTAGATCAACCCATTTGCTTGGACCCGAGTGGGCCCTAGATCCATACAGGTGTTTGGGTCTTCCGCACGCTGAACCCAGTGTGTTTGTCGCGGAGCAGAATTGCTTGCTGCCTTTGAAGGTAGCTGCCTCAAGCTGGTGAGGTTTCAGCCTTCTCTAAACTCACTAGGCCGCCTGACAGGGGAGAGTGGAGGCAAGGCTATGTGGGCGGTGAAAGGTACTTGGCGTTTATCAGCGCTGCCCCGGGATTACCCGGGAGGGGTGACTGTAGGTCTCTCTTAAGGGGAGTGAACCATACCTGTGTGAGGTTGTCTGCAATCCTACGTCTAGCTGTTTCCCTGAGGTCTCATTGGGAACGGTTGTATGTGAGTCGGTGTGTCCTGTGTGGGTGTGCCTGTGGGTGAGTGGCCTATGCTAATGAGTCTGTCTAGGAATGGCTTTGTGTATATCCTGCGTGGGTGAGGAAATATAAAGGCTGCCCTTCTGTGGCCCCAAAAGCTAGGAGGCCCAGAATAGCTGTAGGCCCGGGCGCAGAGCAGAGCGTCCCCAGGCGCCTCTTACCTCCATAGTAAGTGTACGGGGTGGACCCCAACATTTCAGACTCGTCCAAGCGGCCTCCCAGGGGACGCATGCGCCGCGGACTCCGGAAGAAGGCGTGTCTCCGGGCGCCCAGAGCGCTCAGCTGTTTCATGCGGCGTTCTTTGGACCTTCGGTTCTGAAACCACACCTGGGGCGAAGAAAGGGGCAGTGAGCTTGGGGTCAGGAATGTCCCCCCCCCTCCTGCTGAGGCTGGCCCTGCTGGGTCCTAGCGCCTCGGATACAGCACAACTCCCCCAGGCGAGGGCTGGGCCGGATTAGTCCAGGAGGGGCGGAGAGGGGCTTCGGAGAACCAGCCAAGGGTGAAGGATTTCGCGGACCCGTGGGGTGACTCATAAAGACCCCGGCTTCCTGGTCGTCGGCTTGCCCGCGGACTGACGGCTTTATAAAGGCCCCCTGCCCCTCCAGGCCCTGGCTTGCGGTTGCAGAGCCAGGCTCCAGCCGATTGTCGCTTTGCCAACTCTAGGGCGCAAGGACATCGTCCCTTTCTGTGCTTGGAGAGGAAGGGGTCTTGGAGGCCAGACAGGCTTAAGCCATTAGCTAGTCAGGATGGACGAATTCAGAAATGTCTGGTGACCTCGTCAAAAAAAAAAAAATCTCATTGCTAGGACAGTGGGACCGTATCAAGCCTTTTGGCTCACAATTCCCCGCCTCCAAAGGGTGCCCCGATGACCCCAACCACGGATGTACCGACTGTACCTAGGCCAGGCCCTGAGCATTCAAAGGCTAGGCTGCCCGACAGGAGCCATGCCTGCTGGTTAGGAGGGCTGGCCCACTGGCCGCACCTGAATGACCCGCATGTTGAGGCCGGTTTCCTGTGCCAGCTGTTCGCGGATGTGGCGCGTGGGCTTGGGCGTGGCTGCGAAGGCCGCCTTGAGCGTCTCCAGCTGCTTGGCTTTGATGGTGGTGCGCGGGCCGCGCCGCTTCGTGCCGGAGTTCTGTTCCTCGTTCTCGTTGTTAGCGGTCTCCTTGTCCGATGAGGTCGAGTTGTCGGTCTCTTTGGGGTCATCCTGTAACGGGTCCTGGAGGTCTGGGGACAAACTGCGATCCGTACAGGATGACACTGCGGGGTAGACGGAATGGGGAGAGGACAGACAGTGGCGTCAGCGCGATATGTCTCCAGTTCAGAAAGTCGTTCCTAAAGATCCAGGCTCTCTGCCTCGTTTATGGGGTTCCCTCCCGAAGCAGGAACCACTTCTTCCCCGGACTCGGCGCCCACCCACTCCCTCTAGGCCAGGCTTCGTTTGAAAGGCCCTTCTCAGAGCCCCTGAAAGTCAGAAGCTCCCGGGGAAGCGTGGCGCACCCTCTGGGTAACCTTTCCTTCAGGAGTGGGGACAGAGAATGGTACACACTGCCCCCCCCTCGCCCCGTCTCTCTTTCCTCCAAATAGCTATGAGCCTGTTGGTCCTTCTAAAATGTAACAGGATCTCAAATGACACTGAAGGGGGATCTTTTTGTAGTTCTAAATTGGGGGAGGAGAGAAGAGCCTGGCTCCGGGTTTCCTTGTAGAACGGGCTCCTGTCCTCTGAAGCATCCCCCCCGCCCCCACCCCAGCAGGCAGGGGGTGACGGTTGAGAGCGGACTGGTTGCTGGAGCCCAATAGCGTCAAGAGGAAAAGCCGGGACAGGGCAGGGACCTCCATACCTGAGTTGAGGCTTCCCTCCTTGAGGCTAGAGGAGCTCAAGTAGTCGTCCTTGCACACAAACTTGTTTTCGTCGATCACGTAGAGTTCCTCTCCGGTGGACAGCTGCTTGTTGCACACCATGCAGGTGAAGCAGTTGAGGTGAAAGACTTTGCTCCGGGCCTTGCGCACCAGGTCACTGGGAGAGATGCCCTGCGCACAGCCGGCGCACTTCGTGCCAAAGCGCCTGAGGATACAAGGCGCCTGTCATTGTGAGGTGGGAAGGTGGGCCCTGGTGTCCAAGTACTGACCTCTTCCCACCCACTCAGGCTTCCCAGACACTTCCATTTCCAAATCTGTCAAATGGAAGCCTACTTCTGGTCTCTCCCTAGTCAGTGTTGGTTTGGGGCCAGGTGGTCCCTTTTGATTCAAGCTCTATGGGACTGTGACCACAAGAGCTGAAGTGCAGCCTGGAGACGGGCAAGGGTTCAGGGTGTCCCAAGAATGTGTCCCCTGCCCTTAGGTCCCCACCAAATCTGCCTTGGCTGTTTCAGGAGCCCACAAAGGGTTTAAAGCCTGTAGGCTGGGTTCCCATCGTTCTTAGCTTTGGGAAAGGGGGGTGTCCCAGATAGGACCACCACTGTCTGTCTTTAGCAGCAGGATGCAGAATGTGAGCAGAAGTGAATGCCAGAACCTTCCTCTGGCTTCCAGTGCTACCCGGGAGAGCAGCTTGGACTCCCCCCCCCCAAGCTGGGGACAAGAGGCTCTCAGAGGAGTACATTCTGGAAACAGGAAATCAGTTTCTGTACACACACCCTCCTCCCCTATCTCTGGCCTTGGCGGGCGGCAGGAGAATGGGGACAGAAGCTCATCTTGAGCCCTGCTCAGCTAGGACCTGGGATCAATCCTAAACCCTCTTTTACTTGTCTCTGAACCAACCTCTTTTCTTTCTTCCTTGGGTTCTGGAAGAAAGTACCTCCTCCCTCCACAATAGGTACAGGAAGAGGCATAGGTTGCGTGAGGAGGAAGAAGAGGCTCAGACCCTTGGGGGATCGTGCCATCCACTCACACCTGTGTCTCTAAACAGAGTGAATTTGGGTGACATTGATATAGTGAGGGCATTAGAGACCATAAGTCACTTTTGGCCTTATCCGGCAGCATAATTGGCTATATACACCTTATCAAAAATCATTAGGTGCTTTGCAAGCATGCCACATTAGGGGCACCAGGGCCTCCGGGGCCGGGGAGTTTACACGTGTAAAGGCGCGGCTGACATTCTCTCCCATTCAAATTCCCAAGTGCCCGGCCACTGGGGCAGGCGGCTGCCTTTCTCCTCTGCTGAGCTAATCACGCCCCCTCAGGGCCTGGAATTCAGATGCACAAAGCCAGTCAGGGTGCCCGGTGGTAGCAAGCAGCTATCAAAAAACACCACAGGTTTCTAGGCCGCTCCTTAGCACTTCCCATCTGGGGAAACTGAGGCCCACAGAGCAGAGGCACTGGGCCCTGGTCAGCGGGGCGGGGGGGATATGGGGAGATATGGACTTGAGAAGGGAGGTGACACATTGCAGAACCGATGTGCTCATTCTCAGCCTCCATTTCTCCGGTGCCTTTTCAACTAGGGAGGAAATGGATCAGGGGTGGGGGTGGGGGGCAAGGGGAAGGTCTTCTGGCCCTCATCTCCAGAAGAGCCCTTTCTGGCTGGGGCCCTCTGGAACTAGGAAGTTTCTGTAGGGCCTCAGATTACTCTCTGGGCTCAGGGTTACTGTTGGGAACATGAAGTCCCAGCTGCTCACAAGTCCTGGAGCATGGTCGGGATCTGGGGCCAAGGCTCCTGAAGCTTCTGTCCTGGGGATTCAGGTGGGAGGAAAGGGCCAGGAGCAAGTTGCTGAGCTCCCTGCCTCTGCCATCTGGCCGCTCTCTGCTGCCTGACAGACCCAAGGTAAGGCAGCCAAGCATCGTCCTTCTTCCTCGCCTTAGCTTCTTACCAGTAGCCGCTGACAGGGCTCGAGGAGGGCAGAGGCCTATCTGCCTCCCCTCTAAACTGGGATGGGTCTCCTGGTCCCCTAATTCCCGAGGTGCCCGGGTGGAGCTACAGCCAGCCAGTGGTAGGCAGCGGGGCGCGGTGGGGCCTCTTACCTGAAGAAGTCGTTTTTACAGTACAGCTTGCCCTCCCGGGAGAAGCACTTCTCGGAGAGGTTGGTTTTGCACTCGCAGCATTGAACACATTTGATATGCCACGCGCGGTCCAGCACGTTCAGGAGAAAGCGGTCGAGGATGGGCCGCTCACAGCCGGCACAGTGCACCATCATAGCCGCGCGTCCCGGGCGGCTCGGGCCGCCTCGTCCTCCTTGGGGCCCCTGGGCCCTTAGGGCCTCTCGGTCCCCGCTGCAATGGCTTTCAGCCTCCCTGGTCTTTGGGCCTCGTCAGGGGCGAGTCCGATGCGAATCAACCAAGACTTCGAGGGGTCAAGTCCTCCGACGCTCTCTGGCCTGGCGCTGCACTGCCCAGAGTGGCGTGGAGGGCGGCGGCGGTCACAGCCTCATGTCACGGGTCGCACCCGGGCGCTCGCTCCAGCGTAGAGCAGGTGTCCTCGCGGCTGCTGGCTCCGGCACTGACGAGCGGCTTTCCCGGTTGGCGGAGGCGCCGGCACTTTCCCCCACTTTCAAGCGGTCCCGATCCTCATCTTTGTCTGGCCGCCGCCTAATTCGCGCATCCTTATTCAGATTTGGTGACGTGGTGCGGCACGTAGGGTGCCGGGCGGCCAATGGGCGCGCCGTGGCCATAGCAACCTCTTAAATTTATAGCATATCTAAATTGGCTACAGCGTTGCGGTCAGGACAGAGCAAAAAAAACAAGACATCAGTATTGCCGAGTATTTGCTAGTACCTGGATCCGAGGCTAAGTAAGTATTTACCTTCCAGTTTGGGCCTTATAGAGGGGCGGGGGCGCGATCCAAAAACCTCCCTCTTCGCAAATGTTTTTGGCTTCCAAGGCCTGGCCAGGGAGGGACCTCCCCCCCAGGTTGTCGCCCTCCCAACCTGTAGAAGTTGCTCAGGTCGGGAGTGCGGTGTAGTTCACCCCCCCCCCCCCGCTTCCGAACCCTCCCAGCTCCCTCTGGCTAAGGACTGCGGCTCGCCCAGGCTCTGAGCGCAGGAGCTGGGACCCTGTCGGTCTCCTGAGCTGTGGTTTCTTTTGTCAAATGCGGGGCTGGGGCCCAGCCGGGCTTTTCTCACCGAGAGAGAGAGAGAGAGAGAGAGAGAGAGAGAGAGAGAGAGAGAGAGAGAGAGAGAGAGAGAGAGAGAGAGAGAGAGAGAGAGGGGCGGGGAAGCTTGGGTAGTTATGTACCCCCAACCCCCACCCCAGCCAGGTTGGATCAATCAGGGATTTATAGCAACTGGCCTAGTCGGGGAATCCTGAACGTCAGGTCTAAGTGCCCAGCTCACCCGCTTTAGGGGAGGTGTGGAGAAGGGGGTGGTCTACCTCGGATGGATATTCGGGCAGGTAGATAGAAGATGACACTCATTACGTCTTTCTCTGCCACACTGTCCTTATTCCAGGCCCGCCTGGCAGGAACCATGGTGAGTGGGTTAGTCTGCCAGAGCAAGGGAGGCTGGCTACTGCCATTGGCACTCCCGAGCCTGAGGGCTCTAGATTTCCTGGCGCTCCTAGGTCCAAAGGCAGCCTCGCAGGTGTGGGAATGCCGGCAGATGTACGCGGAGGGGTGCGTGGGCCTGGAGCAGAGTAAAGGGACCTGGGATGGGGAGACAAACGTACCAGGCCTGGTTTCTGCCTGGCCAGCCAGGCACCTGCTTTCATTGGGAGAGGTACGTGTTTCTGGATATTTGCTTGCTCCTGGGAAGAGGGTTGATGGTGCGGGTCTGGGGCCCAAGGGTTGGAGCCAGGGAGGATTTGTGCCAAGACTTGTGAATGTTTGTTTGGGTGTATTTATTTACTGAGTTTGTTAGTTATACATGCGCTGCTTGAAAACTATCATTTTATTCTATTTATAGTGTGTTCTCCGTGATCAAATCTCGGGATGTGGAGGGGTTTTGATTATGTGGGTTTTTTTTTCCGTGTAGATTTTCATGTTTATAATTTCTTGTGGTCCTGCTTGCGTTGCGTGTTAATGTGTGCATTAGAATGATTTGTCAGCCTGCATCTATATGTGTCTGCTTATGTGAGTGGGTGTCAGAGGATGTGCTTGTCTCTGGAGGATTCTGATCACTTCTATGCATGTGCTTAATGTCTGAGTGTGTGTAAATGTGTGTGCTCCTGCTAGAGACCCTGTGTGTGACTGAGCTGTGCTGTGTGATCTTGGGCACAGAATTTTATAGACCTGTGTGTGTGTGTGTGTGTGTGTGTGTGTGTACAGTGGGTTTTTATTTACAGGGTCTCTTGTAGGACTGGAGGGAACATGTTTGAATGTGTACTACAAGCAGTGATTATCTTCAAGGATGGGAGAAAAGATTTGGAGAGACTGGACCTTTGAAAAAGGGCACCTCTAACTCCAGTAGCTTCTGTATGTGGCTGTCACCTGATCACTAGTTTGTCAGGAGGACCCAGCAAGCTGGATTGAACTTGGATCTCCTAGGCCTATGGAGAGAGGTTCCAGAAGCCTCCAGAGGAAGCTGTGTGGCAGCACCCAGCCTTCCTGGGGCATGAAAGGGCTTTGAGCTGGGACAGGACACAGAGAAGGGGGAGCCATGCAGGCTCTGGGCTGAGGCAGCCCACTGCCCTCTGCCTTTGTCTCTTGGAGGTCTCCCCCATATCCCCCATCTCCCCCCCCCCCTTGCTCAATGGCTCCTGGCTTCTTGTCTTCCTGGTCCCACTCCTCCCCTTCTTTCTCATTTTATTTCCCTCTCTTTTTCTCTTTTTTCCCCCTATGCCTTTTTGCCCTGATTTGGAATCTGGCATCCATCACAATACTTCAAAGGCCGCTTCCCATTATGAACGGCTGCTGAGATGTTTGGAGAAGACTCATACCCTGACACAACAGTCACTTAACCTTCCTTCTCAGCACACCCCCCCCAACCATAGTGGCCACACACTCCCTCAGGTCACCACAAGGAATCTAAGGTGCCAGACCCCTCCTGTATCCTGAGTCAGAGTTCTGTGCAGCCATCCCCGGCTGATTCTCCCACTCACTTCTGGAATGTTCCTGAATGTCCATGAGCAGCCATACTCCAGTAACTGAATGCCAGGCCAGGGAGGGAACAGTGGTGGAGAGCAACTACCCCAGGGGATCCTCAAGCCTGGCTGTGGGTGGGCCACCTGGGGCTGAACCTTTGGTTGTGGCCTAAGAGGGTTGGTTGGGCTTAGAGAAGCTGGCAAGGGCTCAAAGGATTTCCCTAGTTCCTGCCCTTCCGTGTCACCTGGGTGCCTCACTGGACTCAGATAGTTTAGCCCCACTTACAGAACCCCCCCCCCACGCCAGCCTAGCAGCTTTGGAAGCTTTCTCCCAGAAAAATAGCAGACCAGCTATTTTATATATTATCCCACCCTAACAGCACTGACAGATGGCCGCCCGGCAGTGAAATTCCCTCCTATATGTAACTAATAAACGCTTGTGTCTTAACAGGGTGATGCGCCAAGACTCAATGTCACTTATACAAGATGTTGATGGAATTTACTATATAAAAATCTCCCTTCTAGAGTAAAGAGTCTCAACATTACAGCTCGACAGACGGTGCGGGATGAATGAAACAGACAAAAGACAAACAAGATAATAATCTGTTTCCAATCACTTAAGCCCTGTAGAGTTAGTAAAATGTTCCTTGCATATTCCCCCTTGAGTTCGGTAATTAATTACTGGCGAAGAGACGCACACCTCCCGGTTGGAGTGGGAGTTTCAAGGCCTGGAGAGCTTGGGCGTGGGGGTGTCTTTCTCCCGGTCTCCAGTTGGTGACACTGGACAGCGGTGGAGGAAGGCGGTGCCTCTTGCGCCCCGGTGAGCAGGACTTTTCCGTTGGGTCGCCGCAGCTCGGCTCCTCTCCTTATGCCTCGGACATTCTTCATTGAAGCTAGAAAGAGGCTGGCCTTCTCAGAGGGCTGAGTCCTTCTAAGTCTTCTTAGGTCGCTACCCCACCCCCTTAGAACGGACCGATTAGCCTGGTTTTGTATTTTTTTTTTTTTTTTGTTCTCATCTTATTTATTTATTTGAGAAGGGGCAGGCTGGAGGCCCGGCGCTGGCCGGGGTGGGGGACTAGGGAGGTGGGGATCCAGGAGGTTTGCCCCTTGCCCTTTTCTCCCTGAAGCATCTTAGGTGTCACAGCAGCCAGTTCTCTCCCGACCTCGATCATTACCCCCCACCCCCATCACGCATCCTTATCTCCCCCACCCCACCAAGAGCCAGCGAAGCTTTAACATTAAACAAACGCAGCGAGCGCCTGGGAGCTGCGCTCTCGGCCGGGGCTGAGCGGCGGCGGCGTTACAAATTGTAAATTTAAATTGCTCTCCGGATTCATTACTTCCCCTCTTTGATTTCAGCCAGCCGTGAAAAATTATACTGGTGTACCACTGAGAAACTGCTTTGCCGCAAAGAGCCTGCGCCTAATCACTGGCTTTCTCCCTCCGACAAGAGTGTAATTATTTTGTTTTGGGTGTAAATATAGGCGGCCCCGCGCACAGACACTCAGCATCCCGCCGCGCACGGCCCGCCGCCCAGAGGCATCCGCCCGGGGTAGGAGCAGGCATGGAGGCCAGGCCGGAGCGAAGCTCTAGCCTTGTATTCTCGGCAGACCCGGTCTCCAGTCTCTGCCCCGGGACTCAACGAACCTTAGGCATCCAAGTCCAGCAGAGTGCACTCTAGCGGGTTGTGCTGTGTGGGTCAGGGCTCAGTGGGGTGGGAGTGGATGAGGATTCTTGGGCCCCCGCGGGACTCACAGACCTGAATGGAGTCCGGAGTCCGGGTCCAAGTAGGAACAGTGTCCTGGTCTGAGGAGGGATACGGGATATAGAACTGGGTAGGTGGATGAGTCCTATTCCCGCAACAATGTGGACTGTTGTGTTTCCAGAGCATCTTTGCAAGGCTGAGGGCCCTCCAGTGATGTGAACACTCGGGAATTAACCGGCTTTTAAATCGTGCAGGCCCGACCTGAGATGTTTACAAATCGGCGGGGATTTATTTCATCTTCAACCCTCTTCCATTCTTCGCTCTTTCCTCTCCTTTTTTGGGGGGTGTTTAGGTGGAGTGTGTGTGTGTGTGTGTGTGTGTGTGGAGTAGAGCTGTTCGAAGCTTGGGAGATGTGTCAGTAAGGCCGAGTGGAGTGCTAGGGTCAGAAAGACTTCGGGTCCAATAGATGAGCCCCACAGAGCTCTAAAGGGTTGCTGAGCAGGAGGGAACTGCAGGGGGTCAGCTCCGCTTCAGTCGCGCGGTGCCCCACCGCTCTGAGCTTTCAAGCAGGCCGGGCAGGGAGTGAGCCCCCATTCCTTACCTGTGGCCCTGAAGCCCCAACCTTAGGCTGTTGGGACACCCCCCCCCCCAGCAGCAGGCTTCAGCTCACCCTTGGGCAGAATTTAGGCTCCGGCTTCTCCGGAGTCTGGGTCTGTCCTTTTCAGTAAGAAGGGGGCTTGGAACAGATCGGATGAAGTCCCCACAACTTGTGAGCTAAACTGACATTTTTGCTTAGAGGAGGGAAATTACACACTTAGTGTCGTGGTTGGATTCCAGGTCGTCGGTTTCCCCATA